AGCAGAGCAGAGAGCTGGTAAATGACAGTCACCAGCTCTCTGTTCACTGAAGGCTGAGAACTGAGTGATCAGTGGTGTTTGATCATTTAGTTTGTGGTCTTATAAGCAGTGGGGGGCAGGTTCAGCAGCAGACCAATGTCATATCCACCTGGGTTAGTTAGCTTTGTTTTTTTTTATCAAACCCATACTTCTCTTTTAAACTTTGGAAACACATTCTGCACATGAAGAGTGGAATTTCAAGCATATCACATGTATAACAGCACTTGATTCATCAGAGAGGGAAAAGTTTTAGGTGAATGAACACCTAATTTACAAAGCTTTTCACGGAGTGACAATCCTATTGTAGGTGTTAACATTGTACGTATCTGTCACATACAGTGTGGAAATACTTGAAATTATCTCAATTTCACAAGAATCCAGGTCTAAGTAACATGAAATTACTTAGCATCCATTTTGATTCACAGAATGTTGTAAATTGCCTGGAGCTCTTCTTTAATTATCTAACTTTCACTTGGCATCTGCATCAGCCACCAGCTGCATACAGTCAACCTTTGGAGACAGAGGTTGATGCTGATGCAGAGGCTGCACGGACACTGCATGTCAAAATCGGACAGCCATGATTACTTATTGTCTGAATTCATGCATTATACTGCTGGCACAGATAGTCTAAAACTTCCTTTTCTGTGATCAGTGTGGGCAGACTTTGGAACTTCTTCTCTACCTGGATTTCAGTATCATATCTGTTTTGCAGCCCATCATAATATCATCCTGCTGCATGAGGTCATCTACCACATATTGGGTGCAGACGTTTGGTCAGTTGTGGGCAGTTGTGTGCTGGATTATTACAAGAGGCAGAATCTCACCATACTGTTCAGGTGAGACCCTCTGCTTTACATTTTGCCCCTCTGCTCTAACTTCTGCCTGCTCTACTTCCTGGCCCTCTGCTCTTCCACTTGTTCCTTTTCTCTACCTCCTGACCCTCCACTTTACCTTATGACCCCCGCTCTACTTCTTGATCTTCTGCACTACCTCTTGGCCTTCTGTTCTACCTCCTGACCCTCCACTCTACCTCTTGGCCTTGTGCTCAACCTCCTAACCCTCCTCTCTACTTCTTGGCCTTCTGCTCTAAATCCTGACCCTCCGCTCTACCTCTTGGCCTTGTGCTCAACCACCTAACCCTCCTCTCTACCTCTTGGCCTTCTGCTCTACCTCCTGACCCTCCGCTCCTACCTCTCCTGGCCTTCTGCTAATCCTCCTAACCCTCCTCTCTACCTCTTGGCCTTCTGCTCTACCTCCAGACCCGCCGCTCTACCTCTTGGCTTTTTGCTCTACCTTTGGACCCCTACTCTACCTCCTGACTCTCTTCTGTACATTTGTATTCTTTGCTCTGCTTCCTTCCCCTCTGATCTGCCTCCAAGGTGTTCTTTTTTCTCAACTTCCAAAGTCAGGAGGTATGCAATTATTTTGCATGTTAAGAAGCCCTTTCAAAATTATAGTTAACAATACACAGGGCCTGGTACATTCTATGCAGTGTACAGACCTTTAGATGGTTTGTGCTGCAGTGTACCACAGCACATGGCTCATCAAAGGCATTAGCGTGATTTTGCAGCCACTCCCCATGTTAGCAAATTTGTATTAAATTTAGTCAAACACATAAATAAACCACAATATCCTGAATTGGCTGTTCATCTTTAAAAGGAATCTGTAGTAAGAGAAATACAGTATGTATGAAGCTGATCTCCTTCTGAAAATACTATTTGTATGGCTGTCTTCGGCTTCTATACTTTCTGAGTCTCTGGCCTGGAAAAACATACATAAAATAATGTCATAGTGAAATCAGAACTTCTCCATACTTGTCCCAGAGCAGAAGTCACTGAAGACTTTAATCATCACAGCCAGGAAATTAGCATTTTCAGAAGGATGTCAGCAATGGCAGCATACATATTGCTCTCAGTACAGGTTGCCTTAAGATAAACTCTCAGCTTTAGAACATATTACACCTGTATTTAGAGTGTAAGATGCAACGTGTTCCAGCATCCACCTTCTCACCTCTCCTCCTGTGACAAAGGGTTCCTTTCCCCCGCACCCGCTTTCACATTTAGAATTGGCTCAGGGTTCTGCCACACAGCTGCTGCATCATTCATTCACAGTCACAGTAACCTGCCAATTAATAAACTACAAGTCCAGTCTTCCACTGCAGCAGATTGACTTGTAATGATTAGTGCCCTTGTGTCCATTGACAATTGCTGCAGCTCAGCAACTGTCTGCCTGGATTGCTGTAAGCAAGAACATTTTTCTTAGTTTCTGTTATAAAATTTTGCAAATACGTAATTTTTCTTCTTCACTGATGGGCAGTGATGAGGCGGCATTGTTGAGGCTGCACTGATGGGGAAATGCTAATGAGGTTGCACTGTTGGGCACTGATGAGGTGGCACTGATGTGGCACTGATGGGCATTGATAAGGCAGCACTGATGAGGCTGAATTGATGAGGAGGCACTGATAGGCAGCACTGATGGGCACTGATGAGGCTGCACTGATTGACGTCCTCCCAGAACTGGATGAATGCGTTGTAGTTGTTTATTGACAATAGCATGGGTGGCAAGGTGTTAATGTAAGTTACTTTAATTTTTTTTTCGGATGTAAGTTACTGTGTATCATTTGTTTCTGCACTTATGAAGGAGAACGTGTACCAAGAGAAATATGAAGGCTACCAACACTGACCTCCTTAGCCTAGGTTCACACTGGTGCTATTACATAATTGTGAGTCTTTTAGTATGTTTTTGGTACATTTTCATGCTTCATGTGTTTTTTTTTTGTTTTGTTTTTTTGCAGGAAGGTTGTTAAGCACAAAACCCTCCCAAAACTTATGCACATGCATTTTTCTTATGCTCTCCTTGAAGACCATAGGCCAAAAAGATAGTTTGCTTCACTGAAAAGGAGCCGCTCTACCTATTCAGAACTCACACTGCACAATGTTGTGATGATATGAGTGGGCACCATAGAGAATAATATAATTTCCAAAGTTGTGCATTGCATTGCAATCGCAGAAACAGGAGAAATCACATTAGTGTGAACAGGGCCTTTGGAGCGATTTGAAGCTCCACCAGATTCAACTCTCAACACTGGGATTTCCATTATATTCATTGGTGCCCATTCACACCTATCGATTGAAGTATGAATGTTAAAAAAATGTCCAAAATGCCCCAAAACATATGCAATGTACATGTTTTCTTGCCTAGTAACAAAATTTCCATTGGCAAATAAGTGAAGACTGCTCAAGTCTAAAACGCAGACAAAAAAAAAGATCTAAAAAATACCAAAGATACGCAGCTCAAGTGTGAATTGGTCACGTTCTGAACTTTGTATGGCTTTTCAATAGGTTCACATGCGTTACCATGTAGCCAATGGACTCAGATAGCTATCAGAATTTCTGACCTGAATAGTTGTTTCAGGTCAGGAAGTACTCAAGCAATTCAACAGGACAGCCAGGGAACTGCATTTTCAGATGAAAAGGTCACCAATAGCAGCCTTCATTTTTTTTCCCAGTGCAGGTTTCCTTTAAAAATGCCCAATACCACATACTGTATAATAATTATACTAATAATAGTAAAAATATATATATTTACTATTTTTACAAATCTGTCAGAGGACAGGTCCTCTGCGTTTTTCCTCCTCCAACATATCTTCTTAGAAATAAACTTCAGGCCTCCTATATACTATGCACTGCAGTAATGCAATGCATAACTCTGCATTCAGCTGCACTCCTTTAAGGCAGTCCATTCATTTTCAATGTACTGACCGCACACAAGAAATTGGATGTGACCTTTTTTAAAGCAGTTCAACTCATGGCAAGTGTGATGCACACGTCTCACCTACTAATATAAACAGTGCATTAGCATGTTATTTAAAATGAATGACACCACAGTTTGCCTGTTAACATTGGTTGCATTATTACATGGTAAAATATGTATTTAACCATGCATAATGCAACACAACAGTGTGAAGGGTGCCTCATTTCTTCTGGAAATAATTGGCACTAAAATTAAATTTAATACAGTATACTGGCTAAAACGTCCCTGAATTTAAAGAAGTATTAAACCCAAAACAAAAAAATTTAATCTATTGTAGCTTACCTAGCTTTAGATGTGCTGGCTGCATTTGCTTTCTTTTTTTAGCCGTTGTCCTCCTGTTTTCACCTGGTGATCTGGTAATTAACACACCTCCTGTATTAGAGTGCCCCCACTCTGGATGAATGAGCACAGGGCACATATTTAGACAGCAGCTTTGTCAGTCTGAAAGGATGGGAGTGTTAGACTAGCAGATTTAGGATGGATTTGACTAACACATTGAAGCCAAATTCCAGCGAACACTTTATAAGCAGTTACAGCAAACAGCTTTTTTTGTTTTTGGAGAAAGGTTTTTACATAAATGAATAAAATGCTACATATACAGGAAAGCTTGTTATGTTGAAAAACAACAGACGTACTGGCAGGATCACAAAGGAAAGAAAGCCTAAAAGAGAAACTAATGCAGCCATCACATATACAGATTGGTAATCTGCAATATATCAAATGTTTGCTTTTGGGTTTACTACCACTTTAAACATGCTTGAAATGATCATAGAGCTATCCTTAAACTGAATTGGCAAACGATAAAATGTTGCAATTTTTTAGTAATTTGCAATATAAGAAATATGCAATTGATTAATGATATCTAATCATCCGTAGAATCATTACCAGACTCTGCTATGTTGAAAATTTAATTAAAACAACCCAACTGTTTTCTTATTTGAGTACAAAATTAACTAGATTCAATAATGGTAATAAGCAACAGTAGAGCCCATCTTGTATTTATTTCCCAAAATTTTCTAAATTTGATTTATTGTCTGCTTAAGATTATGATAAAGCTTTGTGAATTTGTATTCAGTCATTGGTCTTTAATTGCTGGTATTCTGTGAATAAAGAGATAACACCACGCAGTATAAAAATAGATCAATTACCTCTGCAGACGCCAAATTCATCTCCGAAATCATCTTCTTCCGTAAAAAATTGGCATGTCAGTCCAGGACCACATTTAACTCCATCCATGCCAGACACAGTCCTGTAACAGGTTTCTCCAGCGGCTGCAGCACAGACCCTGCAGCATCCACAGTCGTCCAGCACGGTCCTCTTACATCTTACCGTACTCTTGCATTCGTTGCTGTCGCAGCGATCTGGACAATCCACGGCGTACTGGGAACTCCAGGCAGTGCCAAAGTGCATGTTAATCAGCAGACAGGCAACAAAGATGCAGCACCTCATATCTGCAGACAGAATTGACTTTTTACTTTTGGACACTGAACTGCACTGACAGCCTCTGGCTGGGGACAGGAATGAATCCAAAGTAGTAGCTGAGCATCAATCTACAAATTTAGCTGCTTTATACATTGTCTTCCCACAGGCTTGTCAATCGTCAGCTTCCTCAATCCGGCCGTGCTGTCCTACTGCCAGCCTCCCTTCTTTTTACTTCACAAAATCCAGGATGGAGGTTGGATTAACAAGCTGCTGCCATCCAGGAATTGAAAAGCATGTGCTGATGTCATTTGTTATGTTTAGATTTTTTTTTTTTAGGTTTTCTTTTTTTTGTCAGGAGAACAATAATCTGTCTATCCATATGCAATGACTAAGGATGTCTGTGAGGAGAGAGAATAGAAAGAGCATATTACATTTTGTGAGGCTGTCACTTTCTAAACATGCACGGTACAGAAATTAAATAGAGCTCTCAACTTTTTCAAATAAAAAGCAAACCGGGGGCCCTAAATATCAGTCTGCCAGGGTTCTGTGATTTCAAAAGACTAATTAACAGATCTTAACAGAATGAAGTTTATTTACTGAAGAACAAACCAATCTGCAGAGGTTTATAGCAGATCAGGCCGGCTCCATATGAGCACCGCTATTGAGATCCGGCCTCCAATAACCAGATCTATACCTCCACAAGAAGAAGAAAAAATATTGTATACAGTGCTGTGAAAAAGTATTTGTCCTCTTTCTGATTTTTACAAAATGTAATTTTTAAATGATGTTTCATTTATTAAAGGAGAAAAGCTTACAAACCTTCCTGGTCCTGTGTGAAAACGTAAATGCCCCCTAAACCTAATAAGTGATTGTGCCACCCTTGGCGGCAACAACTGCAATCAAGCATTTGTGATAATTGTCAATGAGTCTTTCACATCGCAGTGGAGGACTCTGCGTCCACTCTTATTTTCAGAATTGTTTTAATTCAGCCACATTGGAGGGTTTTTTGAGCAAGAATGGCCTGTTTAAGGTCATGCCACAGCATCTCAATCGGATTTAAGTCCGGACTTTGTTTAGGCCACTACAAAACTTAATTTCATTTTTTTCTTTGAGCTATTCAGAAATGTAATTGCTGGAGTCTTTCGCATCATTGTCCTGCTGCATAATCCAAGTCCACTTGAGTTTGAGGTCACAATCTGATGGCCGGATATTCACACTAGACCAGACTATCACACTACCACCACCATGTTTGACTGTTGGTAGGATGTTCTTTTTATGAAATGCTGTGTTAGTCTTACACCAGATGTAATGGTTCAACTTTTGTCTCATCAGTCCACAGAATATTTGCCCAAAAGTCTTGGAGATAATCAAAATGTTTTTTGGCAAATGTAAGATGAGCCTTTGCGTTCTTTTTGGTCAGCAGGACTTTCACCTTGGAACTCTCCCATGGATGCCATTTTTTACCAGTCTCTTTCTGAATCATGAACACGGACCTTAACTGACCTGCAGGCAAGTGAGACCTGCAGATCTTTAGATGTTATTCTGGGTTCTTTTATGATCTCCTGGATGAGTCATCGTTGTGCTCTTGGAATAATTTTGGTAGGCCGCCACTCCTGGGAATATTTACCACTGTTCCAAGTTTTCTCCATTTGTGGATAATGGCTTTCACTGTGGTTTGCTAGAGTCCAAAAGCCTTAGAAATGGCTTTGTAAACTTTCCAGACTGATATATGTCAATTACTATGTTTCTCATCTCTTCTTGAATTTATTTAGATAGCAGCATGATGTGTTGTCTTCTTGAGATCTTTTAGCGTACTTCACTTTGACAGCTTCTATTTAAGTAATTTCTTGATTCAACAGGTCTAGCAGTAATCAGGCCTGGGTGTGGAAAATGAGATTTAACTCAGCTTTCCAAAAGATCTGGTTAATTACAGTTTATTCAGGATTTAGCAAGGGGTGACAATTACTTTTTCACATAGGACTGGGCAGGTTTGGACAGCTTTTTTCAATTAATAAATTAAATCATCATTTAGAAACTGCATTTTGAATTTACTCAGGTTATCTTTGTGTAATATTAACATTTGTTTGATGATCTGAATCATTAGATGTGACAAATATGCAAAACAATAAAAAAATCAGGAAGAGGGCAAATACTTTTTCAATTTTGTGTATCTTAAAATTAAGAAAAACCTTCTCATCCCAAATTAAACCTCAGGCAACAACAATGGTGTCTGATGATCTGAATGACATTTGCGCTTACTGCACAAGCATCCACTGATCATGTAAATGAACACAATATAATTTGAATTTTGAGGTGAATGCTCGTAGATGAGTCACCTTCAGCACCTCTATTGAGATCTGGCCTTCAATGACCACATCTAGACCTCCACAAAGAAGATAAAAATGTAATAGTATATAGCTGAAAAATAATAAAAAACGTCTCAGGTCGATGCTTGTTGATGAGTCACCTGCAGCACCATTATTGAGATCTGGCCTCCAATAACCAGATCTAACATTTGTGTTTACTGCACTAGCATTCAGTGCTTACATAAGTGAATGCGATGTCATTTGAGTTTTTCATGTTTGCAAACCTGTGAAAAAGTCATCACTGAGCTAATTTGTGCCCTCGTCAATAACAGTTATTCTTATATTAATGATACAGTAACAATTTACACAAACCGTTTTTATCCCTGTGCACATTGCAATGTAGCTTTAAAAGGTGAATAAAGTTCTTCTAAAGTAAAGCGCCTACTGTACATTCACTGTACATTCACTTTAAGCTTTACCTTTCTACTGCATTACATTATAGTCATATTATTGTCATGCTATTTTATTCTGCAGATTTGTTGATTATATTTTGTAGTGATTATATGGGGATGCACAAATTATGTAAATGCTGTGTTGGGAAAATTTACAGTAAAATGCAATTTTCTCAAATTTCTTTAATGTTCATTCCATAGAAATAAAATATATACTGTATATATTATACATTTTAAATATATGTGTATATATATATATATATATATTTGTTTACCCTATGTTTATTTATTTTATTATTTATTATAGGTACTTGTATAGCGCCGTCAATTTACGCAGCACTTTACATATATATATATATTGTACATTCACATCAGTCCCTAACCCTCTAGGGGCGCACAATCTAAGGTCCCTAACTCACATTCATAAAAATTGGCCAATTTAGACAGGAGCCAATTAATCTACCAGCATGTCTTTGGAGTATATGTTGCTTGATAAGTTGCCTGCCTTTACTTGCACATGAACTTTAAAGGCATCCCAGTCTTAGTCCGTAGGGTTCAATATTGAGTGGGCCCACCCTTTGTAGCTATAACAGCTTCAACTCTTCTGGGAAGGTTTTCCACAAGGTTTAGGAGTGTGTCTATGGGAATGTTTGATCATTCTTCCAGAAGCGCATTTGTGAGGTCAGACACTGATGATGAATGAGAAGGCCTGGCTGGCAGTCTCCGCTCTATGTTCATCTCAAAGGTGTTTGGGTTGAAGTCAGGACTCTGTGCAGGCCAGTCAAGTCCCTCCACCCCAAACTCGCTCACCCATGTCTTTATGGACCTTGCTTTGTGCTGAGTTGCTGTTGTTCCAGCTGCTTCCACTTTGTTATAATACCACTAACAGTTGACCATGGAATATTTAGTAGCAAGGAAATTTCATGTATGGACTTATTGCACAGGTGGCAACCTATCACAGTACTACACTTGAATTCACTGAGCTTCTATGAGTGACCCATTCTTTTACAAATGTTTGTAGAAGCAGTCTGCATGCCTAGGTGTTTGATTTTATATACCTGTGGCCATGAAGGTGATTGGAACACCTGAATCCAATGATTTGGAAGGGTGTCCCAATACTTTTGACAATATAGTATATATATATATATATATATATATATATAACCTAAACAACTATAACTATTTTCAATCTATCATATAATACACAAGTGGCTACCCAGGTGTATTTTTGTATTTCTCATCATCACTTACACTTAACTCAACAATTTAAACTACTAGTATTTACCTGTTCTTAATACATTTCTTTTTGGTCTGATGGATCCTGCCTGGAGATCATGTGGGATTTTTATTGTACCATGTATGATAATTAATGGTGAGAAGATGCATGGTTAATGACAAGTAAAAAAAAGAAAATGCCACTGAAGCTAAAATATCAAGTAACTATATAAAAACTAAAAAAAATGGATCTTCTGAGACTAGCAGTCACAGACAGCAGTGCCTTAGATCTCACTTCAAAAATACCACTACAAGTGACAGCGCTCCTCTCCCCGCCAGCTGCCTGCACCAAACCCGCCCTGCCCTGGTACATGCCAGTGGGAACAGAAAAGGGGGCAGGGGGTGTGTGCAGCCATGTTAGTCTGGTAGCAGCACCTCCTGAAGCCTGTGCTCTTTCTGCAGCCTGCACTCTCCACTCTCCTATGGAGGCAAGCTTTAGCTACTCTTCTATCAAGTACTGCCATGGAGGGAGAATTGGGATGGGAGGAGGACTCTGTACTGGGGGAGGGGGTGATTTGGGGGGAAAAGGATGTCATTTTGTTTTAATCCCATGCAGTCTTGAACTCTGTACTCTATAAGCAGCTCACACATGAACTCTGTAGTCTATATACAGTGTACACCTTAACTCTGCACTCTATATGCAGTGCACACCTTAACTCTGCACTCTGTAGACAGTGCACACCTGAACTCTGCTCTCTATAGGCAGCGCACACCTGAACTCTGTATTCTGTATGTAGCGCATACCTGAACTCTGCACTCTTAATGCAGCTATGAACAGGAGCAGGCGCTGTGTAGTTTTGTGATAAAAATAATACACCTTGTATGGAGGTGTGCCTTTAATAAGTCATATGGTAAAAAAACAATAAATAACCAGCTTGTGGCTTTAGGAAGCCAGGTTCCAAGATGGACGGCCGTCCGCTCAGAGGGAAGCAGTGGAGTAGAATGCCTGTCAGTGCAGGGACCACGTGTACCCGACGTCCCAGCGTCCTGGATG